GGGAGGAGATGTGGAAACGCATTGTTACAATCGGGGGAGGCGGGTGAGAACGGAGCTTCCAAATTTTTACGCGACTGCAAATCTTTTAGCAGTAGGGTACATTGCCTTCGAACGTCTAGAACTGGTACCGTTTGATGGCCGCTAGATTATCCTGTCTGTTGTTTGTGTCAGATAGTTTTGTTGCTGGTTATGATTTGATCGGTGTTTTAAGATGATTTAAACTCGGTTTTTGTTCGTGAAACTCGATTGTTTTAAATTGACTAGGAAGCTTGTGATTTGCAGTTTTGCGACTGATACTTCTCTTATAAAGTTCTGGATCTCTTTATTGTGTTTCAAAAAATTTCTGTGAAATTTTTTAGTTAAAAAACAAAGTTTTAGAAAGAAAAAAGTTTCGATCATTTTGTTTGGCAAAAAATTCTGCGCTAAATCTGCTTAAGCAAAATAAAAATTGAAGGCGCATTTATTTTGTAGTTTATGTATTACCTTTTTATTTTTGTTGGTTTCCAAAGTTCTTATGGAAGTCTATATCTAATAGGAGTTTTCCTGAATTTAGGTGTTAATTAGAAGATGCACAATTTTTGGGAGGAGATAGAGTTCTTTAGGTTTACTTTTTGGTTGTGCAAATTTGAGATGGGGTTTAACTAAGCAGTGAAATTTTCAAAAGTTTTTCGATACCGAGAAAAGGAAGTGCGGAATTTAGAGGGTATAGTGACCTATTCGCTCTTAGGCTGTCCAGGTTACAACATTTTATCTTACTGTACCTGAATAAAAATTGCATCTTAGTCGCTAGTTTTTTAGAGAAGACGATAGCTGCATGTCCGTTTGTTGAAATCATTAAATCAAAAAGTTTTTTGACGAAGAAGCGGTATTTGTGGCAAAAAGTGTTGAAATAGGCACGTTTTTACTTTGTTGATGCAGTGCTTCGTCATTCTGAAAAAAAATCTTTAACAATGACCAACGGTTTGTCAGCCGTGATCATTTAGGTCGTGTAATGTAGCTGAACGTTCCTCACCTTTTGTTTCTGATCATTTTTCTTAAAGTAGGCTCCGAAGGAAATACTTTAGGGTCAGAGGAAAGAATTCCTGCGGTAAATCTAGTGATAGAGGAAAGTGAGTGGCATATGAGAATTTTACAAAGCATTGCGATGTATTGCTGAAGACACTGGGGCACTTTGCTGAGAAAACTATGGTTTTTAGAAGTTCTGGTCGGTTGATTACTCGTTGCTTACAGCATAATTCTTGTAGTTTTAAAATTTTTCTTTTTAGAACTCATTAGTTCTCGTGGTACTTTTCAAAATTTTTCAAAAACGCTTTTTTTTAGTTAGTGTTCTAGAGGCCTGAGCAGTCTTGGAGTATTTACTTCGTCTTTGGGTAGCAGCAGAGTGAACACAACGTTGTAAACATCTGCTTGTGCTAATACAGTAAAGGTCAAGCAAAATTGGGAGTCTAGCCGCACTGTTTAGTGGTCTCTAGGACCTTCTCTTTGCCTTCTTCCATTAACGGCAAGTGGTCATTTGCTCTAGAATTCCATCGGACACAGTTGAACTACTGAGCGTAAAAGTTTTTCTTTTCTGCTAGGTGTCTGATGTAGGTTTAGAATTTGGAAATGTTGTTATAGACCTGGCGCCTATATTTCAAGTCGTGGCTTCATTTTGGGTTTTGGACATTTTTAAAAACAGTTTATTGATCCCGAATATTAATCAAGTTTTTTTTTTGTAAGCATTTATATGTTCTGGTATCAAACTTTGTGAGAAATTTTTCTAACGCTGGTATCCGTAAACGTTGATGCTGATTGCATAAAACTTTGACGTGGCGCAGCTCGTTGGCGACTAATTGTCGATTTCTTGTTCTTGCCATTTTTCAAACAAATTTTATAATTAAGAGTTTAAAGAACGTTTGTGAGGATAATAACCGAGTTTCTGCAGTTTGTATTTCAAAAATTTAGGGAGGAGAAGAAATATCATTATCTGAAAAGGAGGTCAAGTTATTGGTGTTTTGCTCTCTGAAAAACCAGATTAGAAACGGCAGCTTTGATGCAAAACAACTTAATTGACTGAGACCTCGAGAGCAATAGAAGTCATTTACATCCAGTGAAGGTTTAAATTGGATTTGGAAATGTTACTTTATGCCAAGTGATTTTTTTTATATATTACTCTTCAACGGGTTGAACACTTATGAACGCCGTAACTTTGTTTCAGGAAACGTTCTCGAAGGAGCGTGTTATAAATTTCGAAGAGTACGT